GTACAACACATTCATTGTAAAAGTGTGAACTGAAATATAAAAAGCTTTCACCTTCTTCATTCTACCGTGTGTAAATTTATTAGGACAGGATCTGCTTTGGGCAGATTATGGACCACACTATGTTAAAGTTAGGAAGGTTTGTACACTTGACTAGTTTTCTCCCAAAAGGATTGAGGCATTGAGACCAACGAAGTTGTTCTATGGAGATAAGACTGCTCATTTGCTCACGTGGCAAAAGAACCTTATCCAAATGTGAGAACCTAAGTTTCTCCCCAAGTGGGCTCCCACTGGGCAGGAGAATATTTCTATTGGGCAATTAGAGAAGACGAGGTCACAGCTATGATGGAATCTATCTATAGGGATCGCACTAATCCTGGTATGTCTTCATCAGTATTCAATGTGATTAATTCCTTTGATTTATGGGTGCATTACATAGTTTACTTATTAGCTTCTATTTTTAGCATTAGAAAATATAATTGTCGTGAATTTCGAATGTGATTAATACCGCCATGGATGTTACGTATAGAAATCTCCGTATTTACACCATTGATTTTGTATATACGAATAAAAGAATATCAGTTTATACTGAATTTGATGGATCTGCCTTAACCAAAATGAGTAACAGACTGAAAACTGAATTGGTTTGATGTAATAACCCATTGGTGCTCTAATGTTAAGTGAGCTTTGTATGCAGGTCATATGATCAAAGTGTACTCCGTATTGTTAGCTATGTTTTACAGTTTCAATTATCAGTTCGGAATTAGGTGGGACTTTTAGCTGTGAATATCCAAATGTTGAATAAATGCTGTGCTGGAAAAAAGTATTAATAACAGCAATGAAAACCAAGAAAAATGGAGAAGAAGATGAATATAAATAATAATATCGAAACGAGACTTGATCACAAAATGAAATCGTTGTCCTGAAACGATATTTGCTTCCTTCTCTGTGCTTTGAAGGATTAAAATTGGCAAATAGTTTGTAGGATTTTCAAGCCTTGAATGAAGAACACCGAAAGCAAAGTGATTCTTCAAGTAGAACAAGTGAAAATGTAGGAATGATTATATGAAGTAACCAAAATTTACCAGAATTTATAGATGAATAATTGGACGATTTCATATATTTTAGAATGAAATTCAACCATTCCTACACGAACTGGATACAACACAAGAAGAGGTACATTGCCTCACCATAAAATGTGACCGCATAGGCTATAACTATGGGGTCCCATAGTTATAGTAGTGCAGCCCCCAGAATTCCCTACAGTCGCTTATGCGACCGCATGCCAATTTTATGACAACAAGGTTGGTTTTTCCTCTTTTTTACAAATTCATCCATCCATGGTTATTTCACAATTTTGAACAACAATACCAACATGCTTTACATTTCACTCTTGAATAGCACCAGAAATTCCAATCGTAATTATACAGATAACTTGGGGAAGAGCCTATTAGTGAAGAAATATCTGGGAGCTGAGGCATTCAACAACACAACAAGACTTGCATTTGGGAAGTGATTTGCGAATTCTGTAGGTATAATAGATGAACAAGGACAGGAATTCAAGGCCATCGTTGCAAATGGATTAAAACTTGGCGCTTCTCTTGCCATGGCTGAGCACATCCAATGGTTGCGCCGGTTAATTGTATATGCAAACTATAAATATAACACAATGACATGAATTGATTACATATTTGTGCAATTTATGAATGGGGTAAGCAGTTTTCGCCTACTTTTACTTTAATAGCCCATTTTGCATAAAATATTGGATAAGGCAGCCATGCTACACAATTTTCTTGTAATGAAATCAGCCAATCTATCTATATACAGGCATGCCTTGAGAAGTATTGATCCAATCATTATTCTGTAGCTTCTGGAGATAACGCAATTTCCTAATATACTGCTTGGTTTTTTACTTATGTCATGTACCCAAGGGATCAAATGTGCAGTAGCACGAGACCTTGCTGTGTGAAAAAACCCTTCAGAATTCCGACTAGGAAGGTTCCTTGAGGATGATGTCGATTTGAAAGGACAAGATTTTCGACTACTTCCATTTGTTGCTGGAAGAAGGGTATGCCCTGGTGCACAACTGGGCGTCAATTTGGTTACATCCATGTTAGGCCACCTCTTGCACCATTTCCATTGGGCTCCCCTAGTGGGATGACCGCAGAAGACATTGGTATGGGAGAGCTCTGGTCTGGTCACCTATATGAAGACTCCATTGCAGGCTGTGCCTACTCCCAGATTGCCTCACCATAAAATGTGACCGCATAGGCTATAACTATGCGGTCCCATAGTTATAGTAGTGCAGCCCCCAGAATTCCCTACAGTCGCTTATGCGACCGCATGCCAATTTTATGACAACAAGGTTGGTTTTTCCTCTTTTTTACAAATTCATCCATCCATGGTTATTTCACGATTTTGAACAACAATACCAACATGCTTTACATTTCACTCTTGAATAGCACCTGAAATTCCAATCGTAATTATACAGATAACTTGGGGAAGAGCCTATTAGTGAAGAAATATCTGGGAGCTGTGGCATTCAACAACACAACAAGACTTGCATTTGGGAAGTGATTTGCGAATTCTGTAGGTATAATAGATGAACAAGGACAGGAATTCAAGGCCATCGTTGCAAATGGATTAAAACTTGGCGCTTCTCTTGCCATGGCTGAGCACATCCAATGGTTGCGCCGGTTAATTGTATATGCAAACTATAAATATAACACAATGACATGAATTGATTACATATTTGTGCAATTTATGAATGGGGTAAGCAGTTTTCGCCTACTTTTACTTTAATAGCCCATTTTGCATAAAATATTGGATAAGGCAGCCATGCTACACAATTTTCTTGTAATGAAATCAGCCAATCTATCTATATACAGGCATGCCTTGAGAAGTATTGATCCAATCATTATTCTGTAGCTTCTGGAGATAACACAATTTCCTAATATACTGCTTGGTTTTTTACTTATGTCATGTACCCAAGGGATCAAATGTGCAGTAGCACGAGACCCTGCTGTGTGAAAAAACCCTTCAGAATTCCGACTAGGAAGGTTCCTTGAGGATGATGTCGATTTGAAAGGACAAGATTTTCGACTACTTCCATTTGTTGCTGGAAGAAGGGTATGCCCTGGTGCACAACTGGGCGTCAATTTGGTTACATCCATGTTAGGCCACCTCTTGCACTATTTCCATTGGGCTCCCCTAGTTGGATGACCGCAAAAGACATTGGTATGGGAGAGCTCTGGTCTGGTCACCTATATGAAGACTCCATTGCAGGCTGTGCCTACTCCCAGATTGCCAGCAGATTTGTTCAATCACGTGGCTGTCGATGTAATTTGTAGACTTTACGAAGAAAAAGAAAAGATTTTAGTGTTCGTTTTGCCAGAATGAGTTTTGATTGATTTGAAGAGATCTTGAACGGATGTTGGGGNATATGAAGACTCCATTGCAGGCTGTGCCTACTCCCTGATTGCCAGCAGATTTGTTCAATCACTTGGCTGTCGATGTAATTTGTAGACTTTACGAAGAAAAAGAAAAGATTTTAGTGTTCGTTTTGCCAGAATGAGTTTTGATTGATTTGAAGAGATCTTGAACGGATGTTGGGGTTGGACAACCTTGTTTCAACATCACAAATAATCTCTAATTATATGTAGTTCGGAGCTTTCAGAACCTTATTAAAAGTTCATTTCATACTGTATACTTGAGAATAGATAAGAAGCAACTTCCATTATGCAATTGAATTAACTGCATGGTATAACCTTTCTGGTAGATTTAATCAATTGCCTCGTGCTAACAACATTGTGTCATGAAAATTTTGAAACATAATCTTTAAATCACTTCATTCGCAACCGAGGTAGTACTAGATAGCACGGCATAGATGAAATATCAAGTTTAACATTCTACAAGTGCTTTGAAGTGAAATATACACACTTCCACATTCATAGAGTTCTTGATTGTTAATTACAGTAGTACAATGAAGTAGAAAAGCCTTCTGAGACAGACGAGGCAATCACAGCACGGGGTTAAATGCACTAAAAATACAAACTACAGCATCTGTTAGGGTAGTGGGATTGCAGAAAACATATCATGGTACAACTGCAGCAAAAAGATCATAAATAAAGAGGAAAAACTCAATGCAAATACGAAAGGACAACATAATGCATGGATAACAATGACCTGCAGAGGAATTGTTAAATGCCTTGCCGTTGTCATGTAGGTTCCAGCATTCTGATCCCAGTAGATTTGCACTTGAGATGGCAAGATAGAGATGCCTTTGTTTATCATTTAGTTTCCTCTAACCTTCTTCGTCATAATCTTCATCATCCTCATCCAATTTTGAATTGAGTTGTGCAAGTTGAAGAGGGTCAATGGCCATCCTATCCATTTCAGAGAGCGACCATCCAGGATACTGTTCACCTTTAACATCAGCAGCTACGGCTGAAGAGGTAGTGGGTGCTTCTGCAGCCGGGGGAATCTTATCTGCACCCTCATCTGCAGCTCCAGCATTCAGATCAAAATTCCTTAATTCGGAATCGGCACCATCAGTGTCTTTGATGTTCTCCTTTGACTCTTCCTTCACTTCCCGACAGTTATCCAATGCTTCCCTGGGGCTCGGGATTTTTTTGCCTCTATCCTGAATGGATGTCATAGAATCAGATTCAACCTCATGTCTGGGGGGCTCTCTTTCTGTTGTCCGGGTGCCCCGACCACGACCCCTTCCTCTACCCCGTCCTCTTCCCCTGCCGCTACTTGCATGGCATATTTCCTAGTGCAGCACAAACAGTTTGGCATTTCAGTACAAAAGAAGTTGATGCAGAAACAGATATAGATGTTGACAAGCATGTAATAAGTGGTAAATAACATCGATGTTCAAATGGATATATCAATCTCTTAACAGTGTATATTGCAAAATTTTCTCCTGTTAAATATAAAAGCAAAAACTTTATTTTTATTTATTTATTTTGCATCTGATCTTAGGATTCAGAGTGGTGCAGTAACAGGTCTCTTTAGTACATTTTTTTTATCCACCAAAACGGTAAGAAATTTATTAAATAGAAAACTGAAAAGTAAAGCTTTAAAACGTGGAATACCGTGAATAATATGTGGCCAATATGTCAATCAGTGATCCCTCAGATTAAGACAAAATTAAGCTGAAACGCCTGTCTTTAAACTTTACTGGGAACTATTAGGAAATGTCTTTTGAGGTGATCTCAGCCGATGAATTAGCAAAGATTCAATGAAAAGAATCTTACCATATTGCTCCTCTTGGACTCTTCATCACTGTCATTAGATTCATCGGCCACAACTTTCCTGGTTCAAACAGTTACAATTCATATTAGTAATTAGCCTTGAACAACAGGAGGATTGGGGAAAAAATAATAATAAATCAATATTACCAACCTTCTCTTTGACGTGTCAGCAGTCGTGTCAGAATGACCATAGTCAGGAACCTTGCTGACAACTTCCTTCAGAAAGTCGAAAACATTATAACTGTGAACACACTTTTTTCTGCACGTGGTAAAAAATATATATTAGAAGCTGCAGCACTATATACATTTACTTAAACATGAAGTGCACGGCATAAGGTGATGGTGAGGACTTGGGAAATATTAAAAGGATTTTTCTATTGAAAAATATTCACTTTAACCATTTGTTCTAACTATTGATTATACTCAACAAGATTTCACAGGGAGAACAAAATAAATCTGTTACACTCAAATCACTACAGTTACACGTATACCAATGTTTTCTGAGCTTAATCTTCCAACTGTAAATGTAATACAGATAGCTAAATCTATTACGGTTCAACAATCTCTTTGGTATTATGGTTCAACAATCCTCCAATGGTTTATTGTAAGACTTGTCTATTTGCAATATTCAATCTTCCCAATGTAACATGGGACAACCTTAGGAGTATGTCTGTTCATAAGCAATGAAACAGAGGGAGAACAGGTCTCAATATTCCATGGAATATATATATATATATAGGAGAGCACAGTAAAAATCACAAGTTTTGCACAAATCCACACAATACAATTTTAAATTCCAAGATAGTCAACTCCACTAAAATAGATAGATTACACAATTATTTATAGACCTAGAAGGCTTTACCAGAATTGGACATTTAAACAGGATATAAGTAAATGATTAATTGGAAACTAATCCTGGACATGTAAAGACTTCAAAAAGGGGGAAAAAAAACACTCAAATAACAATTAACCATAGCTTAGGGCTCAAGGACTAGGATTAATGAAACATTGTTGAGTATCAAAATGCCTCTATCTAAAAGTAGAAGTACGCAATATACTAGATTCAAAACTAGTTAACAGATATTCTAAAACAAAATTACTATAGAATATCTTTAAAGGAGACTTCTTTGTAGATGAAAAAAATTCCAAACATTCCCTCTTTACATTTGCTTTTTTATTAAGCCTTTTAATGTTTATATCAAATTGTCTTGCTCCCAATCACAGTAAATGTTTTATCCTCATTCTTGAACAGGACCAAATGCTTGATTAGTAAGCTAATGTCTAGTTTAGATATTAATCACATTCATTTTTTTGCTTGACGAACCATAATACCAAAGAGATTTGGAGACTTGGATCCTATTTGCTAGTGGCACTACAATTCCATTTAACACTTCCCCAGTTGTCAATCCTATCATCCATTGCTACAATTCCATTTAACACAGGTTAGCACATTCAGACCTCAACATGACAGAAATTACAAAGAACAAATAGTGTACGAGTAGGTTTGTTTTCAATTGAAGGTCAAACTTTAGACTCTAGTTTTAAAGTAATTAAGTAATTAATTTCTCGATGTATTTAGTACACATTTCCGGGTCGAATTAAGCATACATGTTCACAGTTTCAAACAAGTTGATCCACAAAAATCCTATGGAGCATTGGCTGATTGGAAATTACTGATTTATCAGAAATGTGTATTGGTTGATTAATATGGGTAAAATATTGGACCATTTTTTCCTCTAAACATTTCTCCATTTCAATTTCTCTCTTCTACCATTTCTTCATCTCTCTTTATCCTACATCTCTTTCTGTGACACACTTCGTAGCCTCGTGTCTCCTTTTATTTTCCAATCATTCATTGCTACAAGATTTCGATCATCTGCTGTGAGTTAGAAAATAGTCTTGAGGAGGACGTTAGGGCTTTTGTATGTCTTGCATCGCAAGATTCATACTACAAGTCTTCATTAGCAAAAATTGTCTGGAGTACAGTGTGCACACACCAAGACCAACCACCAAGAAATTCAGTACCTGACAATCCAACCACGTTGAGCTTTCTTTCCCAATTGGAAATTTGATAAAGCTAAAAAAACAAAAAAAAACTACATCCCACAGATCTTGAAATTACCAGCCATACAAGCCTGATTGTTACGATGTTATCTCCACATAATACTAATAACTCGCTCCTTGCATGTACTTGAGACATCAACTTCTTTAATAAGATTTATCCATGCACATTTTCAGCCACCCCTAAAACCTTTTGAAGTTGACTATTCTTAGATTTATTTTAAATTATAAACCAACAAGAAGATATACACACCATCATACTTATCTATTCTCATAAGGGCTGGGGTGCCATGTACAATTTTCAACATAAGACCTGTAGCTAAGTACACCTAGCACCTGGGCTCCAGTAGGCTCAGGAAAGTTCTTCCTTTCTGTCATTAACACATGCCACATGACCAAAAGCATGAACTGCTCATCAGCACTTTTATTTTGATCACTCTAATGCCCATGAACTTGGAAATGGAAGTTGTTGCTAGCCTCAGTTAAGAGAAATCAAAAAAAATCCTTCACAAAGCACATTGGGAAAACTCAACCAAATTCTAAAGGCCCGTTTGACTTGTGTTTCAATTTTCAGTTTTGAGTTCATTTTTAATTTTTTGTTTTGAGAGCGAGTTCTGAAATTGCTAAAAACATGTTTGGTTTGTCATTTTGAAAAATTATTTCTCAGAATAGAAAACGCATTTGGTTTAAAATTTTGAAAAATTGTTTCATGGCATTTTATTTCATAAAATTTAATTATTCAGTAAAAACAGAAAAATTTCATGTTAATACATTATCAAGTAATATATATATATATATTAAATTAGATGAATTTTGCAAAATTTTTTTTCTCGTTACGAAAGTAAAATAAAAATAAATAATAAATTGAATTCAAATAATAGAAAATAAAAATAAAAATTAATGAAGTGGACTTAAAATTTTTATCTATGTTCATTTAAATATTTATTTAGAATTTCTATGCAAAGCTTGGACTATTTTTATTTTTTTCATTTTCTAGAAATTTTTATAATTTTATTTTTTCATATTTTTATTTTTTATTTTTTATATTTTTTCAAAATTCGTATTTTTTTTTTAAAAAACAAAATTTTATTCTTTAGGAGTTCATGTTTTTATTTTTAAAAATTTTTAATTTTTAAAACTTGTTTAAATAAAATTTTATTTAAACACTTGTTTTAAGTGTTTTCAGAATTTTCATTTAAAACACGTTTTGAATTTTCTGTTATAAATTTGACCTTATTTTCAAAAATACAAGATCAAACATATTTCAACGTTTTGCAAAAACTAAAAAAAATCAACCTAAACGCACCCTAAAAATCCAACCATCTTGAGAAGAAGTATATCCATAACTAGTCAACTATGTGAACATATCCAACATACTTCGGTGTAAAGTAACTCCAGTGCACACGTCATCATTGTTCTTATTCAAGTTAACAAAATATGGTTCATGTCCAGATTCACACCTTCCTGCCATATTCAATTAACACAGTCCATGCCAGATCAATCAAATGATCAGCGGCTGCCAATATGTCTCATTCAACTTTGAGAGCAAATTCTTTGAATCAACATCAATATGCTCCTATGGATGAACAAGAAAATCGAAAGGGCAATTAAATAGTAGTAAAGTGGTATTACTGGTAGCTAATCGCCCATGAAGTACTTGAACAAACCAATGGTCTGCACATAAACCTGTGAATGACAACACACAGCACTTGCAATCTATGTTACATAAACACTGGCATGCAACACACACATATGCATCCAAGTGTGGGTGAGTCAAAAGTATACTAATATGTTTAAAATGAGTCCAAAGGCCATGCTCACGAGTATCAAGCTTTCAACTTGGTGTTGAGCGTAGACAGAATGGTCCATGCAATACAGGTTGCAAAGAAGATAGCATATTAGTAGATATTGTGTACATAATGACATCAGCATGCGTACTGCCCAAGATTTGGCATCATCCATTTTCTTGATGGACCATTCACGTAAAATATGACAATCAGCACATTTGGTTCGAAGAAAAAGCTCAAGACGTGACATTCAAACGACTATCGGAATTTGGAAGTCCTTCGTTCAGCTCAAATACTTCACCAATATACCGTGACAACAAAAATCATGAAAATAAATAAACTGCAAAGTGCAAACTGAACAAAGAATTGAGAATGGGTATCTTCACTCACAAATGCAATGCACTAACAGTCTTGGCTCCTCTCTGAACAGTTACATCATATGTACGGTCACAAAGATCTTGTAGAAATAACTCCAAAGCCTTTGCTGCATCAATTTGTTAAAACAGTAAACATAAGACATTCTGAGAGACATTACAAACTTTTATAGGCAGGCAAGTAATTGCTACTTACAAACTAAAACAGGTACTGCCATTGCAATCTTCCCAACATCCTCATCAGCTTGCATTATCTTTTTAATACGGGCCTGAAACAAATTTCTATTAGACAAATTCAAAATCTTCTCATTAAAATGACAACAATGGAAGAACCAAATTTGGTGTCTCTAATCTTGATTAGTGTTTCCATGCTCAACTGCGCAGACTGCAACGTATCAAGGCTAACAGGTTCTCGCTCAAAATTCAGGACTTTCAGAAATGAACAAGATATGTCGGTGTATGATATTATCAAAAGAAAACCCTGTTGTTTTAAATGGTATCATTTGTTACTTTCTGGATTAATTTTTATGCTACTAAAATGTTGTAGCTGTAAATGGTCTTATCATATTCAGCAAGAGCAGATGAATATAAAGAATTAATAATAGCAACAAGAAAACAGCACATGGATAAACAGATGTGATTAACCATAAGGTCCAAGATTTTGATCTCATGCTTCTTAAATTTTGAGTAGCACAGATAAGCATGGTTTAAAAAGGCAAAGCTGGGGTGTAGTAACTGTGCCTCAGGGTGCTACTTCTAGTGCTTTTATTTTGAGGCAGGCGCCTCATGTTTTATTTGAATTTTGAATTTTTTATTTCCAAGTTCTCTGTGTAAAAGTGAGTTTCAATGATAAAGCCTGAAGGCTTTGAGTTGGGCCAATCTTATTCTCAAATAAAAAATAAAAAAAAATTGGACCCTTCAAATTCGACTAAACAATAGAAAAAATAACCCCGAACCCACAACTCACCATTCTCAAAGAAAGAAGAAGCTTTTTCTCCAATATTGCAAGCCGGCAGCCGGCCGTTCTAAAAAACCGGCAGTTATATATTAATTTTTCATTTCAGGGAAAACCAACAAGATGCTCAGTTTATGGTTTATTATATTTTTAAAATGTAAATATTTTGACAATTTTTTTAGTTTGTGGTGAGGCATACACCTCAATCTGCCTCGAGACTTGTACCTTGCCTCACAAAGGAAAATTGCCTCATACCTATTTGCATCTTTTTAAACATTGCAGATATGTTGACATAAATATGTCAGGATCAAGAAGAATAGGTAATACTGGACACAATGACCATGCTTTTTTTTTTTAATAACCGTGGATGTTCGGGCCAGCTTGAGCGCTCCTCGACTAATTCTACGGGACCTTAAAGTTTACGGCCAGGTACTCACCTCAGTGACCCTGAGGGGACTCGAACTGGTAAATGACCATGCTCTTTGACTTCAAGTAGAGTTAAAGACCTCAAAGGTTGACCACTTAATGGTTTTATATATCCACTTAGCTAAATTAAACTAACCTAGGAAACCAAATAATTAAGACCATCCCCAGCGTCCAACTTTACCATCAAGAAGGCATAAAAGTGGGAAGTCTTTTCCACTCTAAAAGTGTAAGAAAATATATATAATAGAATCAGATAAACAAAATAGATGGATATGAAGTACACGAAATGCACCCACAGAATATCATATGAAGAGTTAATCATGTGGCACATAGGGATTATTTAGGAAGCGAGTTCTTGGTAATTCCTTTTTTGCATTTTTATGGTAATTTCTTAAATTTTCCCTTTACATTAGGATTTCATTTACGGTAATTTTCAGATCACCATCTTGCATTAAGATATTTTTATTATTATTTTTGTTAGCTACTTTTCTTATCTTTTTCTAGAATTAGTTCAACTGACAGTAACATCCATAAACAACTAAACGAAAAGTAGAATGATCACTTAAATGGATTATTTTGGTACTGATAGAAGTTGCAATGAGTTGGCAAGCATTTTTTTCATTTCTAAAATTTTGTGGTGAAAGCAATAAGAATATAGAGAGTAATGCATTAACAATTCCAATGTACACAAATTCCATGAAATCAATCATCGACATACCCCCTTATTCAATAGTTTCCTCTCTCTTTTATATGTGTGCACACGTCAGGGTTAACAGTTCAAGATACAAGTTAATAGACAAAAACAAGAAAATGAGGGAAAGAGAATAGGAGATATTAGGAATTTTAGGTCTTAAATTCAAACGTCCTTGACATAGGATGTGGTACAGACTGTGTAGGAAGTAGGAACAAATAAGCCAATAATTTTTCTTGTGCTAAAGGATAAATGAATAGATCTGATCTATCGAAGTAAACCTTAACTACATTATCGTGGAAAAACAAGGAAAGCAAGAGTTGAAATAAGAATTCACCCTTCAAAAGTTGTACCCTGTTTTGGCAGAAAAGTACAGTAGTCCAGGTAAAACAAGGTACAACAAATGAAGCATACAGCATAACATTAGCAAGCAGTTCATTCTGCTTCAAAAACTGAAATCTAATTATGCAGTGAATAAAAACTTAGAAACATGGTTAGAAAAATTCAAATGAAAGTCCATTTTCACTTTACGCAGAATAATTAAAAATTTAAAACTTAAAAAGTCACAAATTGGAAAAATACTAAATTATACATAAAACATATATTTCAAAAAACTAAAACTTTCACGAAAAAAAAATTAAAAATGAGGAACAACCCAGATCGCATGAATTCGAATTAAGATTAGACAACGGGCATAATTCAAGGATAATTTTCATTTCATAGTTCACGATAATGCATGAAAAACACGAGATATTATAGAAGAGGGAGGACAAACTTACAGCCGGGAAACGAGTATCCAGTTTCTTCCTCATGGTGTATCAGATTTAGGCATCCATACAAATTTCCTTCGTCGAAAACCAGAAAAAATTGAAGAACCAAAAAGCAAAAAATAAAAAATAAAAAATGTAGCCAAATCCAATCTATTAATTTATTACTCGTGATAATTTGAGTAGTATTATTAAAGAATTAAAATTCAAAATTTTAACGGAATACGGTGACTATACGATCGACATAATGATTGAAAGAGGAGATAGAGCAAAAACGGACTCTTTGATTCAGATCCGACAACAAAATGCGAAATTTTGCAGATTTGGGATTTTCTCTTCTTTAATTTTTTTGTGGGTCCGTACATGAAAGCGTAGCTCCGAGTTAATTGTTTTGATGGTCATTGAACTTATGTCTGTATCTTTCATTGTTGACTAAAGTTTAAAATGTCGATATTTGACCATTAAATTTTGAAAAACGTTAGACGTTACTCACTAAATATAACTTTCGTTTAAAATCTTTAATAAAATTGATGACATGGCTGACGAAATGCACATGTAGCTCCTCGTCACGCCGTTAAACTTTGAGATGGTTGAATTTTGATCTCTAAACTTTGAAAAACGTCTTTGATTACTCATTATATTTTGAAAAACGTCTTCTATTACTCACTAAACTTTGAGATGATCGAATTTTGGCTACTAAACTTTGAGGTGGTCGATTTTTGGCCATTAAACTTTGAAAAAAGTCTTCTATTCCTCACAGTAAATTTGGATTTACTTAAAATTCGTTATTAAAAAATTGGATTAAAACTTGATTTTAATTTAATTATGGCTATTGTGTATTTCGTTGTAAATTCAAATATTAAAATTCAGATTTAGTTTAATTTTAATAACAAATTTATCGTATATTTTGTTGCAAAATTCCAATATTATGATAAACAACGCTTGCAAAGTTGTGCGAAGGAAGTGACTACTAATTGCAATGAAATACACAATAATTTTTTTATTAAAATTAAATTAAATTTTACATTTAATATTTGAATTTTACAACGAAATACACGATAAGCCCCTATTTGGTTGGGATTGAAATTAATTTATAGCAGATTTTAATAAAAATTGATGAATTATATTGTTGAAAAGTTGTAGGTCCCATAAATATGTATTTAAAACTGAATATTGGCTAAACAAGGGCTAAATTTGTTGTTAGAATTAAATTAAATTCAAATTTTAATCCAAAGCTTAAAAAAGAATTTTAATTAAATTCAAATTTATTGTGAGCAATAGAAAACGTTTTTCAAAGTTTAGCGACAAAAATCAACCAACTCAAAAGTTTAGCGACCACAATTCGACCTCCTTAAAGTTCAATAAGCAGTAGAAGATGTTTTTCAAAGTTTAGTGAGCAATCGAATATATTATCCAAAGTTCAGTGATAAAATTTGACCATCTCAAAGTTTAACGACGTGACAGGGCGCCACGTGTACATTTCGTCGGCCACATCATCAATTTCGTTAGAGATTTTAAACGGAAGTTATACGAGAGAGTAACGTCCAACGTTTTTCAAAGTGTAGTGGTCAAAACTCGACATCTCAAATTTCAGTGAGTAATTAAAGATATAGACATAAGTTCAGTGACCATTGGAACAATTAACTCTATGGCTCCCTACCTGTTTTGCTAAGAATCAATATCTCATATTTCAGTGAGTAATTGAAGATATAGACATAAGTTCAGTGACCATTGGAACAATTATCTCTGTTGCTCCCTACCTGTTTTGCTAAGACACTGTGCAATGATATATTTGTGCAAGATTGCTAATATTATATGGCTAAATCACAATATTATCTTCGTTTATTTTGAGTAATGATATTTGTTGTTAACTATCGAGTCGTCCTACGTGTTATATATGTGATGGTTAGTAATTTGAATCTTTGATACATAAACGTGGTAGTTTTTTTTTTTTTTAATTGTCTCATTCATCAAATTATTAACCGTCACATGTATGCCATTTAGGGTGGCTGCGATAGTAAGCGATTGCAAATAGCATTATTTATTTATTTTAAGAAATTTTTTTGTTTGCGTAAATTCCTTTAGGTTCCTAACCTTTTATAATCTTTCATTTATGTCACTCAAGTTCTCATTCTTTCAAGTACATTGGTATCCTTATATGACGAAAAAGGACCGTCTAACTAAATGGGTAAAAGTATTCAAAAAAGATTTCATTTTCCCTAAACCAAATGATGATTGTTCAAATTACATAATATTTATTGCTCTTTTTTAGAAGATTTTACCCTTTCAGTTTTATGCGATCAATGACTTTTGAGTTTTTAGTTTCTCTAAATTTAATCATTGTAACCAAACTATATTCGTGAACAAACTAATGAACTAGATAAATTAAATTGAACAGAAAAAATATACGACGAAATCATGATTTAAAATGGTTTGATTTTATTTGGGTGATCGAACGATTTGACGAAATCATGATTTAAAATGGTTTGCCTACTCCTTGTCAAAATTCCTCCAAAACTGCACAAATTTGTTCAAATCTCCATCACTTAGGGCACACAGATTATGGCTTCTGCCATGATCATCTCTTGAGGGGATATTCTTCAATTGGAATTTTTAAAGACTTTTAAGGAATTTAAAATTTCAGAAGTATTGAATGTAGATTTTTTTTTATAACTCTTTAAAATTATCGATGTATTCAATTGAGATTTTTAAAAACCTGTTAAAAGTAAATCTCGGTGTATTCAATTAAAACCTTTAAAAAGTCTTTATAAATTATGTAATATTTAATTTGTAATCAAATTTTATAAGATTTTATATAAAAGAGCCTAATTTTGCAACTAAATTTTAAATATATTAATGAGTTGTTTACTTCCTAAAAGTTGGCATACTGATTAGGGGCGGATGCAAAAGTTTAAAGTTAGGGGGCACAATCGAACTTGAAAAGAAGTTGTGAGAAATTTTACAATCGAAAATTTACGTCCAAAAAAATCATAGTTCATATAATTTTGCATCCGAAAATTTACATGAGATATGACTTTTTCAAATGTAAAATTTCAAATTTTTTTGATATCATATTCCATATAAAATTTTCTACTAGAATGATGAAAATTATATTGAGAAATTTGTATCGCAAAAATAATATATGTTAATGAAATAATAGATTTTTTTTAAAAAAAATAAAATGCAAGTTAGACGTCTTTCTTTAAGACTCACGTTTAACTATTTTCGATATTTGTTTGGACTATTCGATATGCCTATAATGTAGTTTTCGAAAGATTATATAAACAATTTGTAAATTTGATTAGCGTACGATTGTTAGAGAATTTTTCAAATTACCTTGTTATCGAAATTCAAATTTATTGTGATTTTGTTCCTGTTTGGTGGAGATTAAAATCAAATTTTTAGTAAATTTTGATAAAAGGTAAATAGTTATGGATTTCATAAAATATGTTATTAGAATTAATTGTTAACTTTGATTTAAATTAAAATTTAGATTTCAATCGATACCAAACATAACTTAAAAAAAAAAAAAAAAAAATCAATAGTTGGGGGGCACGTGTCCCCCAGGACCCCCCGATATTGATAATAATGAACATTATGTTGTAAAAGGAAAGTAAATTAGGGTTTAATGTGAATGGCACTTGTACCCCTGCAGCCCTAAATATTATTATCATATGTATCCATATTCTTTTCCTATAAATATAGGACTTTGGTTCTCATTATAATACACACAAATCTATTGACTTCTCTAATTCTCTTCTATTTTTCTTTCTTTTTATAACACGTTATCAGCACGATCGCTTAATTATTCAAAGTTTAGAGAAGGTAGTATGTGCATCTCGATTTTTGTGTAATGGATTTTAGATGGTTTCTATAATTTCCTTGATATCTGCGTGTATTCCTTTTTTATTTCTATAGTAGAAGCACATACTCGCATCTTCATTAATTACTTGGTTGCTCAACGTTTCTAAGGGGGACATATTTTAATTGGTTGCTTATTAATCACGCAAATACATGTTTGTGTTGTGGAATATATTTTGCTCAATCATTCGTTGATTACTTGGTTCAACACACTGAACATTTTTCCCAATAAATTGGCTGAATAATAAAGGTTTAAACTATGTTTAATTTGTAGATTCGGCCACAATTAATCATGCTTTAAATTCTGTACAAATTTTCGACAGTAATTGTTATATTTAATTACGCTTTAAATCTTGATTCTTTCATATAATACTCTTTTTATCCTTCACTTCACTAATAATTTTTTTTATTCTTGTATAAACTTTAAAGCGTATATCATGTCATTGCTCCTGAAATAGCAAAACATTTTTTAAGAATATTATTTGCTCATGAAGTAAAAAAAAAATTAATATGATTAAGTATTTTTAGATATTCTTCTATAAATTTTAAATTAATAACTTATTATGTTGTTGTTCCTGAAGTAGCACAACATTATAATTAATATTCTAGAAGAATATTAATCGTAGATCTATCCATTATAAATAGTTTGTTGTTGCTCCTGAAATAGCACAACATTATAATTAATATTCCTGAAAAATATTACTTGCTCATGAAGAGTATGAATTATTATTCTTTCATTAGAATATTGACATGTGGTTCCTGAAGAAACACAACTCTTTAAATATTATATTATCATAGAAAATATACTCTTGAAAAGTTAATGTTTTCTAAATAATAATTTATTGTTGCTCTTGAAGTAGCACACTATTATTTATGTTCTAGTTATATTTTGTTTGCTCTCGAAGAGTATAATTAAAAATTATGTTTTTACTTTCGAACAGTAAATTCTTATACAATTTATTATTTTAAATAATAACATGTTATTGCTCCGAAATAACATGACACTACGATTCCAATATTTAAAAAAAAAAAAAGGAATTTGGTATATTGCTTCAGAAGAAGCAAAAATAATATATATTAGTATTCTTGAAAAATATTGTATTGTATTCATGAAGAAGCACAAATTTATACATATATATATTTTCAAAGAATATTATGATTAATTTAAATATATCGATATTCTT